CTGACCAACCTTTTCTGGTCTACCTCTGCCCTGGGAGTCCCTCCTAGGCTGGGGCTGGGAGGACTTGCTGGGGCCCAGGGCTTTGGTCCCCTGACACGCCTGACAGCTTCAGAAGCAGCCCCAGTCTGATTTGGGATAGCTGAGGCTTCGGACCTTGCACTTTCTGGCCCATTGGGTATCTCAAAGTGGGTGAGAACTTGGGGCATGTCTGGATACAGGGCAGGGACAGCATCCTCAGTGGCCACAATCCATGGCTTTTGGACAATAGGACCTTGAGAAGAATGAGGTGGTCCAGGACTGAGGAGCAGGGCCCCAGTTTCAGAGGGGACAGCAGAGACCACAGGAGGGGTGTTCTAGCCTACGGTCGCCCAGTGCAGTCTGGCTGAGTCCCCACTGCAGAGCGCAGCATGGTTTCTGTAGCCTGAGCTGTGGCGGGTGGCTCAGGACAGGGCTGGCTGAGCATCTGCTTCGCCTGACTGAGCCCTTACATCACTCTGCCACGGACGGAAAATTCCATGTGGTCAGAGCCCAGATGCTGATCAGACGTTTCCCATTCTTCTTTTGAATGGCCCTGTGGACAGCAACAGCAGGGACACCACTGAATGCCATTGGCCTGGTGCCGCATGAACACCTGTCCTCTGGGAGTTTGGCCTCAGAGAAGGGCAGAGGTCACACTGGCCACAGTGCTATCCCTGCCAGACTAGCTGGCTCAGGGAGCTGCCCTGGCACCTAGGCACCCTGATGACCATCCTGCATTGCCCGGACAAGGACAGGCTGCAGTGGTCCCCAGGGGCGGATGGCCCAGGGCATCCTGCTGGCCTGTCCTTGTTCAGAGCGTCCCTCCACCTGTGGAGCTACCCTGGTATAGCTTCACAGCCCAGCCCCTAGCCCAGTGCACGGCCAGGGAGCCCAGTTCCCAGCTGCCCCATCAGGAGGAACACTTCTGCCACAGAAATCTGCTCAGCCTCTTGGAGCTTGAGGTTGTGACTATAGGACCTGAGTTAAACTTGAAGATGGGCTCAGAGAGGTGGCTGTCTCTCCCCATCCCTGCCTTATTGACGAGCTCAGCAAGGCCTTCCCAGCACCCATCAAGAATGTGTAGGCAGAGCCCAGGGCACAGGGGGTGGGAGTGAGGTCCCTGTTCTTCCATGAGGAGGAGCTTCCTGGAGTAGAGCCAGGCCAGGTGAGAGCACATCTGGCTCCTTGGAGGGCAGGGAGGTGAACCTGACAGCCCTGCCTGTCACCACCTCCAGGGCCTGAGTGAGTCAGGGTCCTTGAATGACTCCCCTCTGAGCCCAGGATGTATTTTTATCCTCGAGGACCTGGTCTGGGGGTTTCCGGGACACTCATCTTGCCCTGCTCTTTGACCCCCTCCCCCTGGATCATGGCCAGGCCTGTGCTTCCTCTGCTGGCCTGTTGTCTCTGGCTGCTGTCCCAGTCAGAGCCTGGGGGCTCACAGCGCCACACCCAAATGTGGCAGCATGTGTAGGTGTGAAATGCGCACATGTGTGGACGTGGGCCCAACAGTTGTGTGTGGGCGTGGTTGCGTGTTTGCACCTTCTGCGTGGCACTGGGTCCCCTCCCTGCAGCTCATGGTCTGCAGAGCCAGGCCTGGAAACAGCTCTGCCCCCAGGGGCAGCCTGCTTCTCCTGGGCTCCCCATGCTGGTGGAATTTTTGCTCCCATGGCTCATGCTCACAGTGACCCTACTAAAAAGTGACTTTGCTATCTCCATTTCACACACCAGCACTTGCTGCTACTGAAAGTGCAGACTCGCTGGTCCTCCAGCTCCTGTCCGTTCTGCTTCTTCGTGGCTCCTCTCACCTCACAGAAGGCACCAGTGTTTACCCACAGTGGGGTTTAGTGCCAATGTTGCCTCATGCCAAAACGAATCTGCTGGGCCCCTGCGTGTGCCTGGCACCTAGTGGTATTTCCTACAGAGTAGCACCTGCTGGACAGGGGCCCTGTGCTACGGCTGTGCTGTTAGGGGCAGGCTTGCTGCACCCCAGCTCCCGATTGGCCCTGAGTGCTTATCTTGCTGTGCCTGTTTTCTCATCTGATCAGTAGGAGTGTGCAGTCCTGGCGCCACTGAGGAGGTGATCTAGGACCGCAAGCTCTTTGATGTGTCTACCCTATGGCCATCTGAGAGTTGGGCAGCAGACCAGCCTGGGTGGCTGCTAGATGTGAAGCACAGATGCCTCTTTACATTCCTCCTGTGCACACCTGGGTCAGCCCCTGATTGAGAATCTCCCTGATTCCCAATTTCCTCGCCCCTAGCAAGATATTCCCAAGAGAGAGTGTTCCAGGTGCAGGATGGAGCCCAAATAACCCTCCCAGAATGCCCTCAGTGAGTGGGGACAGGGAAGCAGGGGAGAGGACACTCTAGCCAAGTCCCTGAGGATTTCTGTGAGCAAGGGGGCAGGTTGCTGTGGCCCCAACACACACCATGAAAAGCCCCCAGGGTGACCCTGCCTGTGGAAGTGCCGGCATCCGTGGACCTGGATGCAGGCCTTTGACCTGTCATGAAGGGTACCATAGGGCCTGTGTTAGGGTTGACACCTCTGGTCTGTGCCCACTGCATGCAGATGAGGGCAGATTCAGGGATCCCAGGTGACATTGCTGTTCAAGCACCTCATGGTTACTGGCCCACTGGGTGGCAAGGTGGTGCTGGGGTAAGGGACAGTTAATATTGGGCTTCTTGAGACTGGTCTCTGGTCCTTGGACAGGTGCTTAATTTCCACCAGGGACGCCTACTGGGGCCTGACTCCACCCCGTGTATGATCCTAGGCCAGCCCTCCTGAGCTTTAGAGACCCTTCTGACGTGAGCACCCTGGGTCTTGTGGGATCCCTGTGTTGATGAGGTGGCTCTGGCATCAAGTCCTTGGACTTGCTCATCTCTCCCCCCAAGCCTGCTGGTGTAGGGGTAATGAGCAGCAGTGGGGGCCACTGAGCACTGGGCCAAGAACCAGGAAGTGTCCCCCTCCAACACCTTGCAGCACTCACATTACTCCACACAGGGTGGCCACGGGGCACAGGGCAATGGAGGAGGAAGGGCTGTGGCCTGTGACTACAGCCTCATGGAAGAACCCTGGTCTTCCCCTGAGGGTTCCCCTATGGTGTGTCACAGGCGGAGGCCCAGTCTCCAAAGGTACATCAGCCTCCAGGGCACCAGTATGGCATTGGACTCCAGCAGGGGTTTGGTTCTCGGCCTGCAATGGCTGGTTGTGCAGCCCTTGGTCAGTGTCCCTCTGGCCAGGTAGAAGGTGAGCAGGTCTACAGCCAGGTATGGGAACCAGCTGGCTTCTGGGAGAGCAGGGAGTGCCATCCTCCTGCTGCCTGGCAACTGTCTCCTAGAAAACAGCCCACTAGGCGCCAGGGCTGCTCATCCAGCAGTCCCAGTGCCCTCCAGGCTGAGCCTCTTGTCCCAAGGGGAGCTGGGCAGGGGGTAGGCTCAGGCCCCAGGGAGGCTACAGTTGCCAAAATGATCAGATGTGGGGAGGGAGGGTGTTTCTCTGCAGGAAGAGATAACTGGTGGTCACCCCACGCTGACAGCTGTTAGTGGACGCCTCCCTGAGTCAGGTGCTTGAGCCTCAGTTCTTGACCCCCACACGAGGTGCGGCCAGGTTTTGGCTGCCACCCCACCCTGGCACAGGAAGTGTGTAGAGGTCCCGTCTTGTGACCAGAAGGGGCTGCATTTGAACAGAGAGGACTCTGGTCCTGGTCCTCTCTCTCTCTCTACCTCTCTGAAACATCCTTACTGCTGAAAGCACGTGGCCAGGCAAACTGAAGAGTACAGTGTCCAGGGGAGCAGGGCCTGGCGCCTGCCCCGACCACAAACCGCTCTGGCTGTGCCCATTACCCTCCTTCCCTCCAGTGAGTGCTCAGGAAATGTCTCTGCTGCACTCATAGACTACTTCCTCTGAAGACCCAGGCCTGGGGACAGGCAGGCCCTGGTGTCCTGAGGCCCAGGGAGGCAGCACCGGTGGCATTCCTAGAGCCAGGTGTTAGGTGGGGGCACTGTACGCCACTGGTATAGGTGGGGTCCACAGGACACACTGGTGTGGTGGCCATGGAGAGTGTGCTGCCAGCCCATCTCATTCAGTGCTTGAGACTCCAGTGCCCCCTGCCCAGTCCTGAGTGCAGCTCCTGAGAGCACCAGGGAGGGTGGCCCCTCAGCCCCGTACTTGCTCACCCTTCAAAGCCTCATTGTGAGCAGGGCCAAGCTCAGCTCAGCAGGCCCCCATTTTCCTAACAGTTCCTAAAACAGCACTGGGAGCGGGGACTCCGGATGGCAAAATGCCTGTCCCTGCCCAGGTGAGGGCACAGGGAGGCGATGGCTATGGGAGGCAGCTGTGCCACCTTCCCACCCACCCCAGGTCCCTCCTAGGACTGAGGAGTCGCAGACCTGGTGGGAGGGCACAAACCCTGTCCCAGGAACAGACTGTCTGGTGACTTGGATGGAGGCAGTTCTTGCAGCCCGGGGGCCTGTGGGGCCTGTGCTGTCTGGCCCCATGGCTGCCAGGATTTCTCTGCACATTTCATCCACTCCTCAGGGGAGGGGCCATCACCCCTTTTACAGAAAAGAAAACCAACTCAGGGAGCTGGAGGGGCCTCCTGGGCCACGTGACCAATCAGTGATGGTGCTGGCCCCATCCGCCCACTAGGTGGCTCTTTGTCACCACCGTCTCTGGCTACACCCCACTCAGAGCCTCTTTTCTAGGCTTAGTCTGGAATCCTCCCTAGATTGGGGCCCAGGAAGCTGGCAAGTCCGCCACAGGAGGGCACAGGGCCTAGAAGCCTCCAGTAGATCCGCCTGGTCCCTCCAAGTGGGGTCAAGTCCTGATTGCAGGGGGCCGGCTGCCTGTGGGAGTCCCTTAGGTGTTGGGAGCCACCATTCCTCACCTAGAAGTTGGGGACAGGCCTCACCTCCACCCAGGGCAGGGGGAGGGTTAAGTGGGAGTCTGCCGGGCCACCCTCCAGCGAGCTTCCTCCCTCCCACAGGCACTGCTGCTGCTGGGGGCCACGGCCCTGGCCTGCCTGGCGCTGGACCTCCTCTTCCTGCTCTTCTACTCCTTCTGGCTGTGCTGCCGGCGGCGCAAGAGCGACGAGCACCTGGATGCCGACTGCTGCTGCACGGCCTGGTGCGTCATCATCGCCACGCTGGTCTGCAGGTGAGCTGGGCAGGGTCGCGCAGGGACTGTCCAGGGGGGCAGGGGGCTGCGTGCTCATGTCCCTGCCCTCTCCAGCGCGGGCATCGCAGTGGGATTCTACGGCAACGGGGAGACCAGCGACGGTGTCCATCGGGCCACCTACTCGCTCCGTCACGCCAACCGCACAGTGATGGGGGTCCAGGACCGCGTGAGTGGGCTGGGAAGGTGTCTGTGGGCTGTCCACTGGTTCTGTGCATGCCGGTGGGCTGGTGGGATGGAGGGGCAGCTGAGGCCCTGGGGAACCAGGGGCCTGCACCTGGCCTCAGCTCTGGCCATCCTGGTGGCAGGTGTGGGACACGGCAGCGGCCCTGAACCGCACGGCAGAGCCCAGCCTGCAGAGCCTGGAGCGGCAGCTGGCCGGGAAGCCAGAGCCCCTGCGGGCTGTCCAGCGGCTACAGGGCCTGCTGGAGACACTGCTGGGCTACACTGCCGCCATCCCCTTTTGGAGGAACCCAGGCGTGTCTCTGGAGGTGCTGGCTGAGCAGGTGGATCTCTATGACTGGTACAGGTATGGCCACATCCTCTTTCCTGCCTGCCCAGTACACCTGGCTCAATCATCACCCTCTTCTGCACCTTGTTCTTAGTACCTAATACTTAAGGCCTTACTTTGGGGGTCAGGGCAGCTGGAGGTCACTGGCAATGATAGGAATCCCCCAAGTGGACAGGCCCTGACCCTGGTCCCTGTATCCTAGGACTGCCTGTGGGTACCAGGCTGCTTGCCTTGTTCTGTCCCTGCTGTCCCCCCTCCCTTGTCCCCTCTATGTGCCTAGCCCACACCCATGTGTGCCCGCAGGTGGCTGGGCTACCTGGGCCTGCTGCTGCTCGATGTCATCATCTGCCTCCTGGTGTTGGTGGGCCTCATTCGCAGCTCCAAGGGCATCCTGGTTGGGTGAGTCTGGGTGGGAGGTGGGCCTCCTGCGGGCTGGCAGGATGGAGGGGCAACTGAGGCCCTCGAGGTACTGTCTCTTCATCAGTCTCCAGTGGTACTCACGAGGCCCTCATCGCTGGCCCGCCTGAAGTGGTCTTCTCCCAGAGAGGCCTGCTCTGAGATGTCCCTGTGACTAGCATCCTAGGCTACTCCCCCAGCCCAATTTTGGTGGCTTGCTGTGTTCCTGCTTGGGACAGTGTGTCCATGGGGTACCTGTGGCAGGGAGACCCTGGGAGCCACCTGCCTGGGCCCAAGTGCTAAGGGATCCCAGGAGACCAGGAGCAGGAGCCGGGGAGTGCGGTGCCTGCTCCCTCCACCCTCAGGTGTTGAAGCAGCCCACTCACCAGGCCGCCTGCCATCCTTGGCTAGGTCAGTGCCGGACCTCTGTCTCTTCTGAAGGACAGAGTGACAGCTTACCCAAAGGGTGACTGCGAGATGCTGTCCCTGTCCCTCTCTGAACAGTTACAAGCCCATCCTGGCTCCTACTTGAGCCTGGTACTAGGAGACTTCAGAAAACACTGCAGCCCCCGCCCTGGTGCGCACAGGCCTTGCGGGATGAATTCATAGAACATGCCGAACGTCAGTGGTGACAGTGCCCCGAGAAGCGTAAAGCCCGGCAGGTGGCCAGGCAGCCTTCAGTGCACATTGTATCCAAGAAGCCCTGAGAGACAGAATGTCAAAGCAGAGGTCTGAGGGAGGAGGGATGCTTGGGCCCTTGAGGAAGGACAGCTGACAGCCAGCACACAGGCTTGTGTGTAGCTGGCAGCAGAGGCCGGTTAGGCCCCACCTGGCATGGGGCAGGCTGCACCTGGTGGGGTTGGGGCTCCACAGCCCTCAGGGAGTGGACAGTGGACTGCAGAGCAGCATGAAAGTAGCAGAGGCTTGTCTTCCAGGTAGATGGCCCTAGCAGGGGGACTTGGGGGACAAGAAGGGCAAGGCCCAGGGAGCCATCAAGTCTTAGAGCTAAGCCAGGAGGAGGGTCTGCTCAGGTGGTGGGCAGCTCTTTGTGGGTCAGACTCCAGGTGTGCCCTGGAACCTAGCTCTCCAGTCAGCAGCCCAGCAAGTGGCATGTCCCCTACCCTGTAGCCTGAAGGCTGCTGACCGGCTCTCTTTACCCCAAGGGTCTGCCTGTTGGGGGTACTGGCCCTGGTCATCAGCTGGGGTGCGCTGGGCTTGGAGCTGGCCGTGTCTGTGGTGAGTGGCCAGGGGACCAGTATCCCTGTCTGCTGGGCCTAGGTGTGGGGGAGGGGAGGGGAAAGCAGCCACACTCTTCTCCCTTTTCACCTTGCACTGGGTTGCAGGGTCCTGCCCGTGGACACAGGGCACTTTACGCCCCATTAGTCACACTCCACTTTGCCCCTAAGAGCCCAGGGTGGGACAGCTCTCCCTTGAGGCCCAGCTTGGTCACCCTCCTTCATTGCCCACACCCACCCAGGGCTCCAGTGACTTCTGTGTAGACCCTGACACCTACGTGACCAAGATGGTGGAGGAGTACTCGGTGCTGAGTGGGGGTGAGTCTGCGGCTGCCTCAGAGCCTGTCCCTGGGCAGGCTGAGCAGAGCCAGGTGAAGAGGCCGAGGCTTTATTCTCAGGGGAAGCCATTGGGTGGGGGAATGGGAGAGCTTTGAGCTGTGATCGAACATCCTTTTAAATTCTTCAGGCTGCTGGGAAGACATGAGGGCTGGGGGAGGCTGTGGGACTCCTGCAGACAGGAAATGGCAGTGGCTTGAGCAGGTGGGGCCCAGGACAGGGATGAGGGTGCTTGGAAGGCAGGGCTGGCAGGACGTCCTGATGAGCTGGGTTTGGGGAGAGAAACCAAGGAGCCTACACCTGCTCTGATGGCCCCTGGGCTCCTGGAGGTTTGATGGGAGCATAGACCCCCCCAGGCCAAGGGAAGGTGCTGGTGTGGCAAGACCTTAGCCCACCTACTGTCACTGCTTCAGAGCAAGGCCGCACACTATAGGGACCCYGCTTCCAGTAGAAGGCTTAACCCCAGCCCTGATCTCCCTGGAGACCACAGAGCTTTCTCACACACATGCTATGTACACATGTGCAGATACATGTGTGTAAGCACGCAAGCAGGTATTTGCATGCACACATACATGCACATGCACACACACAGCTGTGTTGCAGACACACATGCACTTGCATAGACATAGCTGCATGGATGGCCACTTCCTCAGCCCACTGCATCCTCTCTCCGCAGACATCCTGCAGTACTACCTGGCCTGCTCACCCCGTGCCACCAACCCTTTCCAGCAGGTGAGAGCCCTGGCTGGCCCTGGGAGGTGGAAGCCTGTGTGGGAGGGGCTGAGCAGGCGCTGGCACCACAGGCGCTGGGTGGAGCAGCTGAGGGAGTGGCATTAGCACCACTGGGACTGTTACCCTGGTGCCCCAGGCAGAAGGTTGTGGTGACCTGCTCAGTGCCACCGTATCCTGGGTCTGCTTATAATCCTTGGGTTGCCCTTGACCACCCTTGTGGACTGAGGCAAAGTTGACTGCTCCCTTTCAGGCAGGTGTGGGAGGAGCCTGGGATACCTCTGTAGGGTGACACCTGAAAAGGAATCCTGGTTGTGGAATTAAAGGCTCAAAGCACCCCTCACCAAACCCTTCACCTGATGCCTGTCATTGTACCCAGATCACACCACCCTTGGGTGCTAAAAACTGTCTGCATTGAGGATGTCCTCCTGTGCCCTCTGGAGGGCCTGGGGCCCCTATCACCATCTCAGGGTCTGTGTTGTCCCTGGGTGTCTAGGCAGCTGGGTGGATCAGGGGTGCCCTGCAGCCTGCAGGGCAGAGCCAGCGTAGCTGCCCATCTGGGAGCCCACAGGCTGCCCTGGGTGGGAGGGGCAGGAAGGAAGGTGGGTGCCTGCCACTAGAGTTGTGCCTTTCTGTTGAGCAGAAGCTGTCAGGCAGCCACAAGGCACTGGTGGAGATGCAAGATGTTGTGTCTGAGCTTCTGAGAAATGTCCCACGGGAGCACCCGGCCACCAAGGTGAGGGGCTGGGGCCTGTTGTCCCTCTTTGTCCTGCAAAGTTTCCTTTATTCCTCCCCTCCCTTTCCCCTTTGATCCTTTTTCCTGGGGGATTTTTAGTAGGTTTTTAAAATATATATATATATTTTTTTAATTTTAAAAGTAATGCAAACCCAGTTGGGGCTGGGGCTCAGCGGTAGTGCATTTGCCTGGCACGTGTGAGGCACTGGGTTTGATTCTCAGCACTACATAGAAATAAATAAATAAATAAATAAATAAATAAATAAATAAATAAATAAATAAAGGTCTATCGACAACTTAAAAAAAAAAGATACATCATCAAAAACAGTAATGCAAACTCTTTGTATCAAAGGTAAGGGGTCAGTCAGGCACAGTGGTGCACACCTGTAATCCCACCAGCTAGGGAGGCTGACACAGGAAGATCTCAAGTTCAAAGCCAGCCTCAGCAACTTAGTGAGGCCCTAAGCAGCTCAGTGAGACTCTTTCTCTAAATAAAATAGAAAAAGGGCTAACCTAGTGGTTAAGCACCCCTGGGTTCAGTCGCCGGTAACCCAAAAAAAAGTGAGGGGTCAAGTGCTGTGTCACGCTTCTGAAATCTCAGTAACTCAGGAGATTGAGATTGGGATTCAGGAGAATCCCAAGGTTGAGGCCAGCCTCAACAACTTAGTGAGACCTTGTCTCAATAAAAAATATAAAGTGTGGGGATGTTGTAAACTGTTCCCTGGGTTCAATCCCAAAAAGGAAATAAAGAAATGGAAGACAAGGAATGTAGCTCAGTGAGAGAGCACTTACCCACCGTGACCATGCACAAGGCCCTAGTTCCATCCTGAGTACCACAAAAAAAAAAAAAAAAAAAGAAAGAAAGAAAGAAACTAGGGGGAGGGTGGTGATGGAAACATGAAGAAAGAAAGTATGACCATTTGGGGACAACATTCTAGAATCTGAGGGGATTGTTGCTTTTTCCTTTAGCATTCTGGGCCCTGAGCATTTGTGTATTAAATTTATGTTGCTCAACTCCTGACAAAATCCCAAATCTTCCCAGAAGTGTCTGGACTCCCCATGGGGATCCCTACCCCTTTAGGTGCCTCCTTAGCAACTGGGGACAGGAAGGAAAAGTGTTGTCTGTGGGTTCCCAGTGGGAGCAATGGACCCTTCTCTAAGAAAGCTCACACACTCAAAAAGTAAATCATCGTGAACGTGGGCACACCCACTCACGTGCACACACCTTACCTTCTTGATCCCACACTTAATGTGGCAGAGAATCCTTTTGGTGCTTTGCTCATGGAGCACATCAATCTGCTGGGGCCACCGTCACAGCCCCACAGATGGGTGATTGGAACGGCAGACATGTTGCTGAGTCCTGGAGTCTGGAAGTCCTAGGTAGGGTGTGAGCAGGGCCTTCCAAGGGCCAGCTCTCCTGAGGTCGCCCTCCACAGCTTGCAGCTGCTGCTCCTCCCTGTGTCCTCTCCGGGTTGTCACTGTGTGTATCTGTGTCCTGATCTCTTCACATCAAGAAACCAGGTGTACCGGACTAGGRCCACCCCAGTGGCCTTGTTTCACCTTGATCCCCTCTCTGAAGGCCCTTTTCCAAGTACGATCACATTCTGAGGTGCTAGGGGTCAGGACTTTAGCCCAGGACATCAGGGGACACGGCTCAGCCCATAACAGTAGGTTCTATTTTCCTGAACCCATTTCAGGATCATAGAGCATCCAGAGACCTGTCAGAGGAGGCAGCACCCGTGTGCTGGGGAGCCCAGGCCAGCCATGAGTGCTCCCTTCTCCTGTGTGAGGATGGGTCTCTGTACAGAGACCTGCGGGTGCAGATGTGCCAGAGTCAGGCCTGCTCCATACAGAGACATTTGTTTACTGTTTTCTCATTTAATAGATCTTGAGGATCTTCCCTCGCGTTCCATTATTCCTCAAATGGGATTTTTAAAAGCAGAGCCGAGCCCCAGTCAGTAGTAACATGCCGTGGTTTGTTGTTTTCCCAGCAGTAAGGGAGTCCTGTCTTCATGTCGTGCTGACCACATTGGACAGGTGTCTGTGGGTCACAGTCTGGAACACAGCTCCAGACTCCAGTTTCACCATTCGTTTTTATTTATTTATTTTTGGGGGGATGGCGCTGGGGATTGAACCCAGGGCCTTGCGCATGCGAGACAAGCACTCTACCAACTGAGCTATACCAGCCCTCACCTTTTTTTGGTACTAGGGACTGAACCCAGGAGCATTTTACCAATGAGCCACATCCCCAGCCCTTTTAATGTTTTGTTTTGAGACGGGGTCTTACTAAGTTGCTTAGGGCCTGGCTAATTTGCTGAGGCTGGCCTCAACTTGTGATTCTCCTGGCTCAGCCTCCCAAGTCACTAGGATTACAGGTGTGCACCACTGCAGCCGGCCAGTTTCAACATTTCTGAAGGCCCCAGGGTCCTCAGGACCTTCACCAAGGCCACAGCTTCAAGCATGGTCTCCATGGCAGGTTATGGGGTGGAGGTTGACCTGGGGGCTTTGGGAGAGGCATGGCTGGCTTACTGTTGACCTTCCGTGGTGACTTTCCCCAGGACCCCCTGCTCCGCATCCAGGAGGTGCTAAATGGCACAGAGGTGAACCTGCAGCACCTCACTGCCCTGGTGGACTGCCGCAGCCTGCATCTGGTGAGGTGGTCCCTGGGATTGGGTGTAGGCAGCTGGTGGGGGAGGGGTGCTGCAGCGGGTGGGTGCTGCTGGGGAGAGGTGGGGGTGGCCCTGGGGAAGAGGGACTTGTGGGTAGTCTGGGCTTCAGGCAGCTTCTCTGTCTCATGCCGTCTCTGTCTTCGTCTGGTCCCTGCCATCCCAGGACTATGTGCAGGCGCTGACGGGCTTCTGCTACGACGGCGTCGAGGGCCTCATCTACCTGGCCCTCTTCTCGTTTGTCACAGCCCTCATGTTCAGCTCCATCGTCTGCAGCGTGCCACACACCTGGCAGCAGAAGAGGTGAGGGCTCAGGGAGGTCCTGGAGCTTGGCTCAGGCCACACAGGACTCTTTAGGAACAAGCCCTCTGGACCCCCAGCTCCCCGTCCCCAGAGGTGAGGAACAAATGCCTCCTCGCCTCACCACACCCTAGGCCTCTGGCCTCTCCAAGGCCTCCAGCTCCCAGGTGAACATCCCCGTGTCACCGAAGAACTGAGTCTAGAGGAGCTCCCAGCCTGGACATCCTGAGCGGGCAGGGAGGAGCACTAGGGTCTCTTGGCCCCTCGGGCTTCTTCTACACCCAGCACGCTGAACGCTGGCCTCAGAACGTCCTATCCAAGCCCCCAGGTGCAGTGTGCAGAGCTGTGGATGGAGGGGCCAGCTTTGTGGTCAGCTTCTACACGGGGTAGTCCAGGTGGCTGTGGCCTTGTGCTGGGTGACTAGGATGGAAGGCAGCTCTTGCAGGGCTGCTGTGTCTTTTGAAGTGGGTGTCCTGGTGACCTGAAGTCAGAACTGGCTTGACTGGGGTGTGAGAGTTCTGGGCTCCTTCCCTTGCTGAGGCCCCTCAGTCCATCCCCAAACCTTCTGGTCCCTCCCATTGGGGCAGTGGCTGCTGCTTGACAGCCCAGCTTTGATGGCTCAGCTCAGATTTCTGCCATTTGCCTGGATTTCTGTTGTTTCCCCTTGTGATGGTGATGGTGATAGAGGTGGTGATGAAGATGGTTGTAGTGATGATGATGGTGGTGGTGGTGATGGTGGTGGTGGTGGTAGTGATGGTGGTAATGATGATGAAGGTGGTAATGGTGGTTGTGATGATGGTGGTGGTGGTGGTGATGGAGGTGGTAATGGTTGTGGTGGTGATGGTGATGTTTGGTGGTGCTGGTGGGGTGATGGTGATGGTGATGTGGTGGTGGTAATGATGGGGACAGTGATGAATGAAGGTGGCTGTGATAATAAAGTTTGTAGCTGTAGTGGAGTGGCCAGGAGAACAACCCTGGAACCCCATGGCTGGATGCAGATCCTTGCTTGTCATGTGACAAGTCACCTAACCACCCTGGGCCTCAGCATCCCTAAGCATAAAAAGGGAGTTGTAAGAGGACACCCTGGAGGGTCAGGTGAGCATTGGTTGGGCCCCACCCGCGGGGCATAGCTGGTGGACACCACTCAACAGAAGCTCCACTGTCCCACCCTGAACTGCTCACCATCCAGTAGCTCCCCTACCCAGCTTCCCCCACGGGGCCCTGCACCTTCTTTTAATAAGCAGGCAGCCCTTTATGGGCTGTGCAGCAGGGCCTGGCACTCACGTGACCAGGTCTTTTAACACCAACAAAGAACAAAGCTGAGGCTCAGAGCCAGTTAAGAGGCCTCAGGGTCAGCAGAATGTATGTGGCATAGTCAGGATTGGACACAGATGTCTGCACCAGATCCAGCCCCCACAGGTCTGGTGGCAGTTCCCTCCTGCTGGGCCTGAGCCTGTGCTGGGTGTCCCTTCCCGCAGAGGTCCCGATGAGGATGGGGAGGAGGAGGCCGCCCCAGGGCCACGGCAAGCACATGACAGCCTCTACCGTGTGCACATGCCCAGTTTGTACAGCTGTGGCAGCAGCTATGGCAGTGAGACCAGCATCCCGGCTGCCGCCCATACCGTCAGCAACGCCCCGGTCACTGAGTACATGTGAGTGCGGGGGGCGGGGTGGGGCCAGCCCAGGCAGGTCAGGCAGACTCTGAGGCACATGCTGCTTGAGTCCATGGGGTGGCGGGCACATCAGCTGCAGCTTGGAGAGTGGATCCATCTTGGGACTTGCTGGCAAGAAAGGGGAGGGTGGTGGGGACAGCTGCAGGAAAGGGTTACAGCAGGGTGGGCGCCCTGGGCTTCAGGTGGAGCAGCCTGACACTGAGTGCCTCCTGCCCACAGGTAAACCTGGTCAAGGGGCCATGAGAAGGTCACATAGTCAGGTGGAGGGTCCGATTCTAGGCCAAGGGACTGTCTTCATGGTGGGCAGGCAGCCTGATGGGAGGCGGGCTCTGGCTGGGCTGTGGAGGCAGGAGGGCACAGTGGGCCCCCTGAGCCTATCATTGTCTGGGTTACAGCGCCTCAGCAAGGACAGAGGTGCCCACCCCTGTGGAAGTCATCATGGAAGTCAGGCCGGACAGAATCGAGTGTGCACAGGCCTGGACCTAGGACCACTGTGACCAGTGGCCACTCATAGCCTCTCTCTCCTCACCCCTCAGGAGCCAGAATGCCAATTTCCAGAACCCCCGCTGTGAGAACACCCCCCTCATTGGGCGCGAGTCCCCACCGCCCTCAGTAAGTCTCAGGGCAGGGTGGGGGGACCTTGGCCTTGGTGCTCTGGTGTGGTTCTCATGGGCAGCATGGGCTCTGGGGGCAGCTGTGAGCCTTTAGTGCTGGGGGCCTTGGGGTTCTTCCCAGCTGGGACCCCTCCAGTGGATGGGACTGGGTGGGCCCATCAGCTCCTACCCGCCATGAAGTGCCTCACAGTCCGGGTGGCCCTCAGGGGCCAGCAGCCCAGCAGGTCAGCTCCTGGCTCTCTCTTGGGGAAGGCAGGCATATAGCAAGGTGTGACCCAACTGTGTTCCCTGAGCTGCACTGCCCTGGTCCTGGTGCCCCAGGACCAGCAGGGCTACTGTCCCTTTCTCGGGCCCAGCCTTGCTTCCTCTCCTTCCTTCCTCTCCTGGTGTTCAGCAGTCTTGACCCCGGGCTGTCCTAGTCTGGGCCTGGTGTTTCTTCTGATCATGGAAGTGAAACATGGGCACAAAAGGACAGGGTGATTTGGTGCCAGAGGAAAGGAGCTGATGGAGAGGCTGGGGGCCCAGGCCTTCCTGGAGGGGATGAGCTGTGCGACCAGGGCTGGAGAGGCTGAAGGCCACTGTTTTCAGAAACGCTCACCTGTCAGGAGTCCCTGTTGTCCTGTAGTCCCATAGCACAGCAGGGCCCTGGGTTGCCCAGGACCTGGACCAGGGGCTGTAAGCCCAGAGGCCGTCCCCAGCTGCTGGCCTCTTACGTTCCGCTTAGCTGTCCTCACCTGGCCCCACTGGCCCCACAGCCTGCTCCAGGCCAGCTGCGCCCTGGCGTTGAGGATACCCCCTCTCTCTCTCTCTCTCCTGCACCCTCCCACCCTGGGCCCTCCTAGCGCTATCTGGCTGCCCTGGACTCTGGCAGCCACGCGGGCTGGCAGTTTAAGCCCATGGACAGTGCCCGAACGCTGTGGTAGCTGTGCCCTCTGAGTGACAGGTACTGACCACCCTGTCCCCCACCCGCACGGCCACCCGCCTGCGCCTCCATGCCTCCTGCCCTTCTCTCACCACCACCCTCCCCCAACACTGGCCTTGGGCTCCACTGCTCCAGGACCAGCTGTGGGTGGCACAGTCCAGCCAGAGACCTCAACTGCTGGCCCCCCGTTCTGCCGGTCTTACAGTGGGCAGTGAGCCCCAGTCCAGGCATCCCCTGCCCACCCCCAAGCCCAGCCACCCAGCCTTTGGGGACTCTGCCACCAGCTACGATTGGCCCCAGCCCCTCCTGTCACCTCACAGTGAGGGAAGCATCTACCAAGGCCCCTTTGTGCACCTGGACTTGAGAGCAGAGCTTGGCCCGTGGTGTGACCCTGGTGCACACCGTGTATGCAGACAAGCATGCGAGCTTCCCCTGCTGTTCCCGGCAGCAGTACAGGCGCCTGCTTGGGCTTCTTCTGGGGTCTGGGATGCCACCCACTCTCCCATCCCACCACCTGTCCCTGCTGCATGACCATGGAATGACATGGCTCCCAGTGCCGCTGCTCCTCCTCCCCTGCTCTTTGGTCACCTCCCAGGCTGCTCGTAACCTTCTAGGTACTCCAGGAGGGCTCTAGGGACCCAGGGAGCATTTCTCTGTGGTTTGGGGGCTATGAGGACCACCCAGAGTCCCCAGAGCCCATTTAGGGGTCGGTGGAGTCAGCCCAGGCCTCCTTAGCACTGGTGATCTTTGCCCCTGCCGTGGGCACCAAGCCCTGCCTCAACACCTGTTCCTCCTGAGCACATGTGCCACACGCACACACGTGCTATTTGAGGCCGCCATGCTCTGGTTGGATGAGGGTGGCCAAGTTCTGTAGGCCATGTGCAGAGCCAGTTGTCCCTGTCCCTGACTCTAAGACCAGAGGAGCCCACAGTTGGTCTCCTTCCTGAGTTGGCAGCAGCAGCGCTCCAGCCTGGGAGTCCCTCCTTCCCTGGGTGACGGGGCAGAGCAGCCATGGGTTGGAGGCTGGGCCTTGCCAGCTGTGAGCTGGCTCAGGAGGACCCACCTGTGCAGACCTCGGCCTGCGTGTGTGTGGCCTCCAGGTTCTGGGTTGCCGAGTGCTCTGGCTCCTAGGGGTGGTCGAGTTCTGCCTGACCAGATGCCCAAATGCCAGCAGCGTGGGCAGTGATGAGCTGAACGTGATCATCCGGTCAAGGGAGGGGACTGCCCTTGGGGGCCACCAGCTCCCTCAGCCGTATCCAGTCCTGGGTCCAGGCCCCCGGCCCCTTCCTTAGGCTCTGCCAGCTGTGCATTGTGCTCCCACCTGCCTCCCAAGGGCCGGCTCTGGCTCATCCTGCTGAGGACCACGCCGAGGAGGCCTCTGGCTGCCCTGGCCCGCCTGGGACCCTGCTGACCCCCCTCCCCCTCCCTCTCTCCTCCAGTACACCTCCAGCATGAGAGCCAAATACCTCGCCACGAGCCAGCCTCGCCCTGACTCCAGCGGCAGCGGGCACTAGACTGCGCACCGGTCAGCCACCTGCCCCACGTGCCAATCGCCCCACCCCTCCTGTGCCAGCACTGCTACTTCCACCTGTGGCCGCCCGCCGGACCCTCCGCATGCCACTCCAGGCCAGCCTGGGCACATCTGTAGGCCCCTCACCCCTCCTCTCCCTTCCCCACAGGGGGCACAGAGGTGCCCGGCATGAGCTCGGGGCAGGTTGAGACACAGGGCTATGGGCCGATGCCCCCGACTTGGGACATGTATCTGGACAGATGCCGCCACCAACACCTGGCCCTGCCTGGCCACCCACTCCCCTATCCTTCTGCCTTCTTGGATTCACTGAGCCCAGGTGCTTCTGTCCCAATGTGCTCCATCTGCAGGTGGCCCTCCAGACTGTCTGCTGCAACTGTCCCTCAAGCGCTGGCCTCCCCAGCCCCTCCTCCCTCCGCAGCTCTGAGCTTGTCGTGGGGCCTCCCTTGCTTCTGCCCTCGCTTCTGTGGATCAATTCTTAGTTCACAGGCACAACAGGAGCCCTCTGTGCCTGGCATCTCTGCCACTGAGGGACAGGTGACCTTCGCAGGTGGGCCCTCCCATGGCCTTCCACCACGTCTGTGGCACCTGCCTTCTCTCATCCACACAGCTCACCTGATCATATCCTCCCCTCTGCTGGTGGCCAGAGCCTCCAGGGAGGCCCTTCCTCTGCCTCCCGCCCAGCATTGCTTTCTCCCCCAGCACCCACCCAGCTCTCCACGGACAGCAGGTGCCATGCAGAGCCTGGGTCACTGGCCTCCAGTGCTGGCCACCCTCTTGGTGCCAAACCCCCTCCCCCATCCCAAAGACTTGGCAGCTCCATCCGGTTTGGGTTTTGCACTAACCACGTTTATCATCTCCAGGGCAGGCTGAGTGGGCGCTGCCCCGTTCCCTCTCCTGGTTCCACTTCCATCCAGGACAGCACAGTGTCCCCGGGGCCCAGCCTCGGGGGCTGGACCTTAGCTGGCTGTGAACATGCCCACAGTCCCTGCTGCCCCTCCTGGGACTAACCACTAACCTCACTCCCAGCCTCTTGGATGCCCTGGCTGCCCAGAGCCAGTGTGCGTGACCCAAGTCGAGCCTGGGGCCAAGGGCCAGGACAGCTGGCTGGGAGCCAGGGCTGGAGGAGCTGTTTTCTCCCCTGGGTGCTGCTGGGGATGGGCCGCAGAATGACAGCAGCCCCAAGGGCCTGGAGACCCCTCCCTGGGCAGGAGGATGGCTCTCGGGATCAAATACCCCATGGACTTCGGGCTGAGGTCCCAGTGGCCTCAGTCTCCCTACCTGTGAAGTGGGAACAAGGCTTCCCTGAGGTGCTTTTGGCTTTTAGTGTATGATGTTTGCTGTGCTTCCTGCGTGGGGGGTGGAGCCTCCCCAGATCAGGACGAGGAGGCTCTGCCCTGCCCGGCCCAGCCCACCCCAGATGGCATGGTCCAGTGCAGGCTCTGACCTGTGTGCCAAGGCCAAGGGCAGCCAGGGGGCTGCCGGACAGTGTGTGCAGGGGCTGAGGTTGGAGGCCCTGCAGTGGAGGCGGTTTACAGACCTATGGTCTGAGTGGAGCTCAGGGCAGCTTCTGGCTCCAGAATGTCCTCACCCCTCTCTGGGCGAGGCCCCCCCACCCTGCCCTTCCTTCCTGATCCATTTTTGTGCTGGTGTCTGGGACCAAAAGTGGAGTGGGGCAGGGGAGTCAGTGGGCCTATGGCCCCAAGCCTGGGCATCTGAGCCCCCCAGGCATGACCAAACCTCAACCGAGGGGACTCTGTCTCTGGCCCCAGTTGGCCGCACTGGGATTCGGTGGGGCCATCAAGTTGTGGCCACAGCCAACTTGCCCAGTCTTTCCTCTGGGCCTGACCTGCCGGGTTGTGTCCTGGCCACAGGTCCACAGGGAGGTGCTGCACCCCTTGCCTGGGTGCCACTGTGTGTTCTGGGGCCACTCGGAAGCACAAATGCTGCCCGCGGCCCAGCCGCGTGCTGCCCCAAGGTGAATGCGTAGCATGAGCGGTGGGCGCTGCCCGGACGTGGCTGTGAACCTGTGCTGTCTTGGGAGTCCTGACCGTTGTGTGCGTGTGCCGTCCGTGACTCACTCACCGAGGCTGAAGAAGGGAAGGGGAAGTCAACAGGGGCTCCCGCCCGGCCTCAGCTGAGGGAGGCCGGGCTCCTCTCTCGGTTTTATTTTGTTCTGAGTTTTTGGTGCCGCGTTCCTGACAACCCCCATCCCAGCGACCTCCACTCCACCCGGGGCACCAGGCCAGGACCTGCTGCCTGGYTGGCTGCTATACCCACCCTGCCCCAGGGTCCTGCACCCTGTGGAGGCAGCGAGGCCACCAGCCAGGCCCCAGGTCCCTGGCCAGAGGAGCAGGAGGGGTCTAGCTGGGACAAGAGACATGCCCATGGGACCCCTCGCAGGCCTCTCTGCCCTCCCCATGGCCAGGCAGGGTCTGGGTAGTGGACTCCTGGTTAGGAGCAGGCCCTGCCCCTCTCCCCTGGCGCCCACCGCCCCCATCGCACTATGCAATTCCAGTTCCAAGCACCATCGCCCTCCCCGCCGGTCCCAGCTCCGCCCAGCCCAAGGGGGTGGTCAGTTGGTAGCCTCTGGGCCCCAGGTGACCAGGGCCTTTAGTGTGGGATCTTTTTTATGTTTAACCATAATGGTTGTGTACCATATCCCTTTATATTTGTTATACTATAAATATATATATGATTTTGTTTTACCTCTTGATTTCTCCCTCCTGCCCACCTGCATCTCMCCCGCCCCCGCCCATGTGAACTAACGTGCGCGCTGACCAGCCCTGCGCTCCCCCAGCCTCTGTAGGGCCATGGCTGTGTGTATTGTCGCTGTGTTTTCGTTTTTTAAAACTGGGTTTGGGGTTTGATTTTTATTTCTTTGGGGACTTTATTTTTCTGGCAAATACTAAAAATCTCGTCGATGTAATTTCTGTGGTTTCTATTCAGCTTGGGTTTCATGTTTTAAAATAAACAAATTTTAAAAGACGGGCCTCTTTTCCTGAGCTGCTCTGGAGGGTCCCAGCTCTAGGCTCTGCTGGGGGAGTCCAGGTGCCCACTGTGCTGCGCTGGGGTGGGAGGTGTGGGGGCCTCTGGGGCTGGATGAGGACTCAACAGCAGTAGTCCAGGCCAGAGGGTGTGGGGAGGGGACAGGGTTAGCTCCACCCTGCATTCGGGCAGGTCCTGGCTGGTGGCTGTTGGGGCCAAGCTGCCTGGAAGTGTCTGGCCTGCAGAGCAGATGTGCAGGGGCAGTGTCACGGCAGGGGACAGAGGATGTGGCTGAAAACCTGGCTCTGCAGGTCATGGGATTGGGGAGTGTTATGAGGCCCCCAGCAAAAGTGACCGTGCCTGGGCCAGCACAGACAGGGTGGAGGGCCCCTAGGGAACAGGCTGGATCCAGGTGGCTCCCCACGGCACTCGTTCCTCCTCCTGCTGGGACTTCCTGCTGGCAGGTCCTGGCGTGTCTGGGGGTCTGCACCATCTCTCCGTGGATCCCTCACCGACTGTGGGTGGGAATGAGCTTTCCTGGTTTCCTCAAGGAGCAGGCTTGGGGTGGCAAAGTGGTTGCCTGGGGCCACCTGTCGAGTAGCCCTGTGAGCAACACCCCCCACCCCGCAGGGAGGCTTCAGGAAACACAGGTGGCAGGGGCCAGTGGAAGGYGTCCTTGGCTCCCAGCTCTTGGCACCTGAGGGAGGCTGCCCAGCGGAGAGCTGCTCCTCCATCCCCGCAAACACCAGGAGTCCTGCCCAGCACTCTGCTCCAGGGAACGGACAGGGGTGCTCTGGGGAGAAATGCTGAGCCACCAGGGTGGAGGCATTCATGACTCTGGTGTCACGTGACAAGGAGAGTGACCTGGAGACATTCAGGTTTGGAGGCCCCAAAGACATGACTGCCCCAGGCTTGGAGTGAGAGCCAGGGATGAGGACAGACCCCAGGCACGTCTTGTACCCTGGGCCCTCAGCCCCTGTATCAGGGAAGGTAAAAATCAGCATCAGGTTTCCTAACCGGGAAAGGCACATCCCAGGGCAGCAGCCCCAGCCATGTTAGGCCACGGCACTGCGCTGACTAGGCACGGTGCAGCCAAGGAACAGAAGGTCAAGGAGCTCGGTCCTGGACAGCTGATACATAGAAGATGCCAAACATGTGAGACGGCCTGGGTGAAGGGGTGGAAGGTGGGTATACAGGTATGATTTTCAAAACTCAGGAAGGACCTTCCTGAAGGAGCCACCATGGAGAAGAGACTATAGATCAGAATGTATGTGGTTCTYGCTGCTGGTGTAACAAATTTATTGCAAACTCACTTGACTTCAAACATGCCAGTTCTGAAGGTCAGAGCCTACCTGGGCTACTTCAGTTTTTTAAAATTTACTTTTCTATACCAGGGATTGAACCCAGGGATACTTAATCACTAAGCCACATCCCCAGCTCCCCCCCCCCCTTTTTTTTTCTTATTTACAGACAGGGTCCTGCTAAGTTGCTCAGGGCTTCACTGAGATTCTTGAGGCTGGCTTTGAACCTGCAATCATCCGCCCTGGCCTCCCAAACTGCTGGGATTACAGGCATGTACCACTGCACCTGGCCTTCCCTGGGCTTTTAAGCCAAGTGTCCACAGCCCTGTATTCTTGCTGGGGCTCTAGGAGAGCACCTCTCCTGCCTTTTCCAGATCATAAAGTACACCACATACAGGGTCGCTCCCTTCCCTCCATCCACAAGGTCAGCAGCACCTGCAGATCTCGCTCCAATACTGGCCTCCTGCCTCCTCCTGAGGACCCTTGTGATGACACCCAGCCTACCTAAATAACACAGAGTCATCTCATCTGGTTCCCTTTTGCCATGTAAAATAGATTCACAGCTGGGCGCAGTGATGTATGCCTATGATCCCAGCAGCTAAGGAGGCTAAGAAAGGAGGATCACAAGTTCAAAGCCAGCCTCAGCAACAGTGAGGCCCTAAGCAATTCAGTGAGACCTTGTCTCTAAATAAAATACAAAATAGGGCTGGGGGTGTGGCTCAATGATTGAGTGCCCCTGAGTTCAATCCTGGGTAACCCCGCCAAGATCATATTCTCAGATTCTGGGTTTAGGATGTGGACATCTTTCACCATGGAATCTAACYTTGAGGCAACGTGAGGAAAGAGGGTTCCAGGCAGACAGCAGTCAGAGCAAAGGCCCTGAGGCAGACAGACACCTTCCTGGTGGTTCAAGCTAGATGGTAAAGTGGCTGGAGTAGAGGGAGCAAGGAGAGTGTGGTCAGAGTGGGGGGATCTCGAAAGGTCTTGTGGGCTGCATAAGGCCTGGGACATTTTTCCTGAGTGAGGTGGGAGCCATGGAGGGTCTAAGCAGAGTGAGTTGATCTAACATTCATCTTAACTGGAGTATTAACTGTTCATTTTAACATTCATTCTAACTCTAGCTGCTGAGTTGGGAAGGGGACAAGAACAGAAACCAGACACCAATTAGGAGGCTGCTGCCACGATGCAGGCACAAGTGAATGGGAGCTGGGGCCCCATGGTGTAGGTTCCAGAAGGTGCCACCCACAGCACTTCCTGATGGGTCTGTGTGGGGTTTGGGTTGAGCATGGTCATAAATTGAGGTGGGACAATTGGGAAGGGCACAGGTTTGGGTAGGAGGGTGGTCAGAGGTCCAGTCTGAACATGTTGACCCTGGGGTGTCCTCCTGACACCAAGGGTTTAGGGAGGTGGTGACATGTGCCAGTAGGGCCCTGGGCAAAGCACTGGGCTGAAGGTGGCCGATTGGAGTCTCTGGCACAGGTACTATTTGAAGCCAATCAACCTGGGCGAGATCCCTGAGGGAGTGGGGAGAGGGGACAGAAGGACCAAGGACTGGGCAAGTGTCCAGCAGGGGGCGCTGGGTCAGGTCTGCAAGAAGAGGGGGCCACCAGCCAAAGGGGCTTAGGGGTAACATAACAGCGGAAAGAATCCCAGCCACCCGCAGACAGCATGTTGAGCGGGGAGGAAGAACCCCATCAAATACTTCTGATGGTCAATGTTGACCAGGACTGGAACCTGATCAGCAGATTCAGTGACCTGGATGCCACATATGGCCTGGACAAGACAGGGCTGGTGAAGCCCAGGGTTGGCTCAGGGAAGGAGGAACTGGAAGCGGCCAGGACTCACAGGAGTTCAGCTGCAAAGCAGCCAAACAGCCCGAGAGCAGGAGGCAGGTGGTCCAGGAAAGTGTCGTGTGTGCGTACGTGAGAGTGTTTCAAGATGGAGACAGCAGCAGAGAGAGGAAGGTGAAGGCAGAGGGACTTGGTGGAGGAGGTTCTTGAGAGGCAGGGGGTTGGGATTCAGGGCGGGTCCAGGGCCTGCCAGTCAGCGTGATGCAGGCACATGGCGGCGGGGCACGAAAGAGGAAGCAAGATTGTCAGAGAGCCAGGTTGGGGAGAGGGACACGTGGGGGTGGCCTTGAGGTCCCCCTGAGGTTCAAAATCTGGAACTGAAAGTGAGACCAGGCCAGGACACAGCTGCCTGGAGAAGATGACAGGCCAGGTGTAAACAGGGCCCAGGTGCAGGGCTGGCCCAGAGCACATGAAGCTGACCTCATGGATTATCTGGGGCTAAGGGACAGGGCTCTCGTTTTGTCTGGGCTCCTCCTGAAGACTACCATGTGTGTCCTTATGCTGGCCCTGGGCTCAGAACTGGGGTCAGCAGGGCTCCACCCTCCAAAGACACTGAAAAAGGCTGAGGCTGGAGCGGGCAGATGGGCCTTGGGTGGCAGCAGGACCAGCCAATCAGTCTGACAGGAGTTGAAGATGGAGCCTGCCATGCTTGACTGAGAAATTTCAGCTGGTTGAGGATGAGCCCTCAACAGGGTTAGAGGAGGTAGAGGAATCCCTGGAGTCAGGGTATCAAAGGGAGAACTGGGTTTAGGGAGGTGGTGATATGTGCCATTTGGGCCCTGGGCACAACTGGAGGTGGAGGCAGAGCTGGAGGCTGAAGATCATGGCTATGGAGCATGTAAAGCATGAAGAGTAGCCATCCTTCAAGGAGGGGGAGGGCATGGTGTTGTGGGAAGGACAGTGAATACCGAGGACTTGTGAATGCACATAGACTGTGGGCAGTGGTCCAAGCCTGTAATTCCAGTGACTTGGGAGGCTGAGGCAGGAGGATCCTAAGTTCGAGGCCAACCTTAGCAACTTAGCAAGACTCTGTCTCAAAATAAAAAGGGCTGAGGATGGAGCTCAGTGGCAGAGAACCTCTGGGTTCAACCCCCAGTACCAACCTCTACGCCCCTCCAAAAAATGGACATGGGATCAGTGCAGAAAACAGTAGTCAGGGACAGGAGCCAGGATCTCCCAAGAGCAAGTGAGCCTGTGAGTACCCCTGGGGGCATCAGGTGAGAAGCCCCCAGATGGGGTTTTGCAGGGGTTGCACTGTGGGGCTGCCCTAAGGGAAAGGATGGGAGGGTCTGGGCCTCACAGTGAGAGCAGCTCCAGGGAGAGATGCATGGATGCAAGTGTCCAGCAGGGGGCGCTGGTCCTTGGAGGAGGAGAGACAGGCGGATCTCCGCGAGTTCCTGGCGAGCGGCGGAGAATCGCCACCTCCGCAGTACTCAAGGGTGCTGGTGTGACTCAGTTGTCACAGAGTTGGCCACTGCACTTCACACTTGCAAAACCCCACCCCAGAGACCAGTCGCCAAAGTGGCAGGAGTGGGGCCTGGGGCTTGCTCCATCTGCTGGGTCCAGCCTGCCACTGGACGCTACCTGCCTCGCCCGAATCAGATGCTGGTGAAGAAGTGAGCCGAAGCTTCAGTGGGAACCCTTCCTTCCCCTTGGGCTTCACCCCTAGATCCAGGCGCATGTCCCAGGAAAGGTGGGATAGAAACCACCAGCTGTTGCCACCAGATGGCACCCAAGCACTGTGATGGGAGACGGGAGGTCCACTTGTAGTTTCTTGGGGATAGGGACACAGGGAGGAGCACCCACTACTCTGAGCCCCCAGACCAGCAGGACCAAT